TAATATGGAACAGAGGTAGTATGAAGACCTTAAGGGGGATCGAGAGGATTCCTTTTGTAATAAATGTATCAAAGCGCCATAGAGATAAATGCGCTATGAGGTGCGAGCATGGGTGTACTTCGCAAGCTGTAAATTCTGGCGCTACCCTAGTACTATGTAACCTAAATAAAATCGAAAAGTATTGTCAAATAATAATGCAACCGAGTATTAATAATGGATGAAAATTTTATCAGGGGTAAAAATCGAAAAGTATTGTCAAGTAAAAATGCAACCTCGTAATAAATTGAAAATTTTATCAGAGATATAGAAATATAAGATATCAAAGGAAACCTGTGATGCATTGAAACAAAGAGGATATTGAAATCCACCAATCAAGTTTGTGTGCTTCCGACCATTGGATCATTCATCTCCACCGATTGAAGAGCCCGCCCGCGATTCCAGCACCATGGACGACCTGGACTTGTTTGGGGCGTTCGATGACGCCAAGCAGACCCTGACCGAGGTAGAAAAAGCAGCTCTGTCCAACAACGCGGTGACCGTAGCAGCACCCGCACCTGCGTCTTCAAAACGCAAGCCAACTGCAACCACGGACGACCAGCCGCCGCCGTCAAAGCGCATCCAAGTGCAAGTCGTGCAACACGTGGATGCAACGGCAAAGGATGAAGTCGTCGTTGCGACAGGAACGCAGCAGAAGAATTTGATTTCGTTCAGTGCGCTGCCGCCCAACTACGAACCACCACCCCCGCACAACCGTGCCCCGGCCAAAACCTACCCGTTCACATTGGATCCGTTCCAGCAAACGGCGGTGGACTTTATCGAAGCGGGCGAAAGTGTCCTCGTGAGCGCGCACACGTCAGCAGGGAAGACGGCCGTCGCAGAGTACGCGATTGCCAAGTCGTTGCGGGACAAGCAGCGCGTGATTTACACGTCGCCGATCAAGGCGTTGTCCAACCAAAAGTACCGCGACCTCGAACAAGAGTTTGGCGACGTCGGGCTCATGACTGGTGACATCACGATCAACCCGACGGCAACGTGCCTCATCATGACAACTGAGATTTTGCGAAGCATGCTGTATCGCGGGTCCGAGGTCATGCGCGAAGTTGCTTGGGTCATTTACGACGAAATCCATTACATGCGCGACAAAGAACGCGGCGTCGTGTGGGAAGAAAGTATTATCTTGCTGCCGCACAAGGTTCGGTTCGTTTTTCTCAGTGCGACCATTCCCAACTCGAAGGAGTTTGCATCGTGGATTGCGCACATCCACCACCAACCGTGCCACGTCGTGTACACGGACTACCGCCCAACGCCTCTGCAGCATTACGTGTTTCCAGCAGGCGGCGACGGTCTCCATTTGGTTGTCGACGAGAAGGGCAAGTTCCGCGAGGACAATTTTCAAAAGGCGATGGCGACGTTGAGTGCCGGGACGGCCGACGCCCCCGCGAACGACAAGGCGGGCGGCGGAAAGGGCGGCAAGAAGGGCGGCAGCGGTGGTAACCAGAAGAAGAAGGTCGGGTCGGACGTGTTTCGTATCGTCAAGCTCGTCATGGAGCGGCAGTACGACCCCGTCATTATCTTTTCGTTCTCGAAGCGCGAGTGCGAAGCATATGCGCTGCTCCTGTCCAAGCTCGACTTTAACACGGACGAAGAAAAGCACATGGTCGACCAAGTGTTCAAGAACGCTATCGATTCCCTCTCGGACGACGACAAGTCGCTGCCGCAAGTAGATGCGATCCTGCCGCTCTTGCGCCGCGGCATCGGTATCCACCACGGCGGCCTCCTCCCGATCCTCAAAGAAGTGATCGAGATCATGTTTGGCGAAGGCTTGCTCAAGTGTTTGTTTGCCACGGAAACGTTCAGCATGGGGCTCAACATGCCGGCAAAGACGGTCGTGTTTACGAATTGCCGCAAGTTTGACGGGAACGACTTTCGATGGATCACGTCGGGCGAGTACATTCAAATGAGCGGACGCGCCGGTCGCCGGTCGCTGGACGCGCGCGGGATTGTGATTCAAATGCTGAGCGACAAGATGGAGCCGCAGGTGGCCAAGGGCATCCTGTACGGCCAAGCCGATCCGCTCTTTTCCACTTTTCACTTGGGCTACAACATGCTCCTCAACCTCTTGCGCGTGGAAGACGCCAATCCCGAGTACATGATTAAACAATCGTTTCACCAGTTCCAAAACGAACAAGCGGCCCCCGGCCTCGAAGAAGCGCTTGCCCGGGTCAAGGAAGAAAAGCTCACGCTGCACATCCCCGACGAAGAAGCCGTCGCCGAGTTTTACTACCTCAGCAAGTCCATTCAAAAGCATCAGGACGAATGGCGCCGCATTCGCAACCAGCCAAAGTACATCGTGTCGTTCTTGAATCCCGGTCGTCTCGTCAAGGTTCACAGCCCCGACGACACCAAGCAGTCGTGGGACTGGGGTGTCCTCGTCAACTTCGAGTCGGGCTTGACCACCAACCCGAACGCCGCCCAAGCATCGGAGACTGCCACCACAGTCCATATCCTGCTACTGTGCGCTGCGGCGACCAGCGGCGGTCCCGACGTGTTGCCTGTCCCTGCCACCAAAGGCACCTGGACACACCCCAAAAGCGAAATGAAGGTGTGCCCTGTTCCCTTGGCCATGATCGACCAGCTCTCGTCCTTGCGGGTGTACATCCCCAAGGACCTCCGCACGCCGGAAAGTCGCCTGGCCGTCGCCAAGTCACTCGTACGTAATTTCTAGATTCCATGCCTCGACGTACCAACGACGGATGAAGCGTTGTGTTGGGTCGACGTGGTGGAGTGTATTGTTTGGCGGTACTTGGGGCTCACCAAGTCGTCGTTCTTGGGTAGGCCGAAGTCATGCGCCGCTTCCCGCAGGGACTTCCGTTGCTGGACCCGATCAAAGACATGGAAATCGATGACCCTGCCTTTGCCAAGATCGTCCGTCAGATTGCCGACACGACGGAAGCGATCGCGGCGTCGCCCCAACGCAACAACTCGGCCGCGTTTGCGTTGTACGTGCAAAAGATGGGGTGCGAGGCCAAGGAGCGCGAACTGGAGCGCCAGATCAAGGACAGCCAGTCGCTTGTGCTCAAGGACGACCTGCGCCGCCGAAAGCGCGTCTTGCGACGGCTCGAGTTTGTCAACGCGGAAAACGTGATCCAGCGCAAGGGCCGCACGGCGTGCGAAGTGAGCACAGCGGACGAATTGCTCGTGACGGAGCTCATTTTCAACGGCGCATTCAACGACTTGAACGTGAAAGAGTGCGTGGCGCTGCTGTCGTGCCTGATCAACACGGAAAAGGTCAAGGAGGGCCAGAAACCGCCGACCGCCGACACGCTGGAAGGTACGTGGACGGCGTTCAACTCGGCAAGTCTGATGGTCGCTGCACTCATGATGCGTAGGACCGATCCTGAACATGCGCGACACGGCGCGACGCGTGGCCAAGACCATGCAGGAAGCCAACATTTCGATCGATGTCGAGGAGTATGCGACGAGCTTCAACACCAACATGGTGGACGTCTTGATTGCGTGGTGTGAAGGCGCCAAGTTCAGCCAGATATGTAAAATGACCGACATGTTTGAAGGGTCAATCATCCGCCTCATCCGTCGGCTGGAAGAACTGCTGCGCCAACTCACGCTGGCCGCCCACAGCATCGGGAATGCCGAGCTCGAGAAGAAGTTCGAGCTCGGCGGCAAACAAATCAAGCGCGACATTGTGTTTGCCGCGTCCTTGTACTTGTAAGACGCCGACTCGACTGACAACACAGGTCCTGCCACTTGTACTCAAGCGCCTTTCCATCGTTTTGTCCCCATCAAAAACCAAATATACATGTATATTTATCGTTCCAAATGCGCCTCGCCTCCCGATGCGCGACCGCCGTGGAGATTGGCAGTGCATGGAGAGCGCGCGCCAGGAATTGTAGAGGTCGCATGTGACATGGGAAGCCCCGCGAACGCTGTACATGCCGTGGTCCTCGCACGAGATGCAACGTTTGGCCACGTCTGTGTTTCACATCGTCAAGTATTCTCGCGAGAGCTGGTGCCAGAAGGACATGCGCGACTGACCGAGCGGCCATTCCCCTCTCGGATCTCATCAAGGCAAGATTGCAATACTCCCTGCCGATATGCCGGCGGTGATGGAATTGTGGAGTGCTCATCGCCCGTTACCTCCGCAAATTTCAACTCATGCACAAGGATCTGGGTGTTTCCAAGCAGCGAACCCCATGTCGTCAAATTCAAGGGGCAGCGTGCAATGGGCGTCAACGATCCCGAATAACATGTTGTCTTGTTCGTCCTAAGCGCGATGACTCAACATGGCTTCCTCCCATGATGTGGCATCACGTCTATCAACCGCTTGTGCGCCGTGGTACTCATGGACTGCGACGCCACGATCCAGACAGTGTTCTCGGAGACATTCGCGATGCAGCAAGGATCGACTGTGGATGGCAAGTAAAAACAGACGTTGGCACAGCGTGGCCATCAAAGCACACTCGAACACGACGTGTCGTGACGCTCAGTCGCCACAATACAGACCTGTCCTGCCACATTGAGATGGGCCCAGCCCTCGTCAAGGAACTCCTCAGTGTGTCCACCGGCGGCTTCTACATCGCCAAGGCGCTGATAGCCAAGTATAGATCTCTCCGCGAATCCTACAACCAGGAAGCACAACCCAGCATTTCCTTTGGACCACGGCAACGGATTCCGCATGGGGTACATTCTCTGCGTCGCTATGAGGCATAGTCGCATCGATTTGCTGCGCATAGTATTTGAGCAAGAAACGATTCCATACGAGTTGAATTGGAGAGAGTATGTAGGGTGCCAACCGTGTTCATCTTTTCATCTCCATCGCCTGTTCGTGGTCGTACATTCGCAACTCGACATGACGAGGCAGCATCACCGGCCTTCCTGGGTATGCCATAAAAGCGACTCAAACTTGACATGTAACGGTCGTGTGAAACGACACAACCGTTCAAAATTGTCAAATATGATAAACCTCCGAGTTCACCACGGCGTTTCCGCGTTGATCGTTGAAACCATTCCTTTGAAACATGATATCGCACTTAAGCAGTAGTTTATTTCCAGACTACGGCAAGCGGTTTCACAAGGCTAATCGTGGAGCCGCGCGCGTTGGCGAGGAGCTGCCAGAAACCAATTCTTGGTCAACCCCACCGCCACCACTACCGCCGCTTCGTTTCTTCATCATCGATGGTATGCACCGTTGCAGTCAGCGAGGGCATTGTCGCTAAAGGCATGGATAGGGCTGCGCACACTCGACTCCTGGCAACGCGGATCAATTCACCAACTGGACTGTGTCCGACGCCACCAACGTGTCCCCATGTCCGTTCGTGAATGCGTTTGCCAATCACGGTCTCATCCCACGCACGGGCATCACGGTTGAAAACATCAAGAGCGCGCTCACGATCTTCCAAGTGGACGAAGCCCTTCAAAAGCTGTTCACGGGGGCAGCCGTGACTGCGTTGGCGTCCTCGGTCCCTCAAGAAGGCAAGGAAGCGACCACGGAAGAAACGCCCAAAACGCTGACACTGTCCGCACTTTCCCAACACAACGCGATGGAGCACGATGCGTCCCTGTCACGCCAAGACGCTGCGCTCGGCGACTCGGTCAAGCTCGATCCCGCGTTGCTCGAGCAGCTCGTCGCGCTGTCCGCGGACGGTCAGTACATTACGAAGGCGCACATTGGCCACTTCCGCGCGATCCGCGAAGAGCAAAGCAAGGCAAAAAACGAAGCGTTCGTATTCGACGCGAAGCAGCAGTTTCTCGCGTATGCCGAAGCGGCGCTGCTCCTCCTCGCCCTTCGCGACTCGACCGGCAACATTAAAATCGACTGGCTCAAGCTCGTTTTTGAGCAGGAAAAGCTCCCTCTGGAGCTTGGATGGGAAGTCCGTCCGATCACGGCGGACGAAGTGTTGGCGCTCGCGAGTGAGCTGCGCGGCGGGGAGCCATTTGACAAGGCGGCTTTCGAACAGTTCTACTAGCTGCGATGACCAACCTTCAATCCTGGCGCGGCCAAGTCGTCCGTCTTTGCACCTTTCACTCGACTCTACCGTTGTAGCCTGAACTTTTTACTATGACAAAAAAATCCTATAAATCGGTGCCACTTACGAACTACCCGCCCATCATTGAATTGTTCCTTTTATCGGTGCAGGAGCACCCTTGGTCGATGCAGCGGGCATTCCCTTCCTTGTCATGGAGGTACTGGACTGTCGATCCATTTATACATGGTTAACTTTTCATTCCTATTTACGTAACGTTGCTAAAATCGAAACCTACGTGGGAGTCGAGTTGGCCAACGGACGGGTGGCGATCCAGTAGAGCGAATTCACACGGGAATTGCCGTCGTCAAACGTTCCCAACGAGGCGACTTCATCCCAAGCCGCTTTGGCGTCGATGATCGCATGATCGAGGTACGTATACCCTTTCCAGATTTCATCCATGGGAGTCTTTGTGCGATTTAACGCTTTTTCCAAGATCGGATACTCGCGGTTGACAAATGCAGGTGACACAAACAATTCTGTCACGGGCGTGAACGGCATCAAGTTGATCAGGTGCATGTGCTCGACTTCAGGTCCGAACCAAGTCGCGTACGTGACTTTGGTGCTGCCAATTTGGCCAGTCATTTGGTTTTGAGCGTATACGGACCCATAAATCTCCTCCTACATTGCGTTGTCAGTGACGGTGCACGACGACAAAGGTGGTCTAAGGGTGATGATCGTGTAGATAACAACTCGCACCACAACGACTTCATTGATCAAACACTCAAAATCGGACTTACCGTAGTTTGCCAATACGTGGTCGCCGCACGCATCTCCAACGTCATCAAGTGTCGTCCCATCTTTTCAACCATTGGCATTTCCAGTGCCTGGCCGAGCAAATACACGGCGTAGTACGCGTTGATCGCCTCCGACACGCTTTCTTGCGATTTGCCACCATCCAAAACATACACTCCACTCGCGAATGAATGTCCATCGAACCATGACATGTGTCGAGCAAGCGGGAAGTACGGACTACACAATAGGCCAACAGAATTGATGTTCATAGTTTCACCAGTTCTTCAGGAAGCAATGGAAAACGCAAGTGGGGCGAGGAAACACTTACTCGTGAGGGCTGTTGTTGGCGATATCGCGAACGATTGACATGAGAACGGCGCGATGGCGTAAGACAAAGGCCGGGCGGTACTTAGCAACGACTGCTGCGGCGTAGATGAAGTACCCGTAATGGAAATGCTACAATCCATCATGAGGTGAGGCATTGAATTGGACATACAATTGATTTTAATGATCAGGACACATAGTATCACAGTCAAACTCAACAAACTGTAGACTTACGTGATCATTGTACCAGCCGTTGCCGAAATCGGTCATCCAAAACACACCGCGGAGACCTTTGACGGAGCAGACGCCACCCCACACCGTGTCGTACACAAAGTAGTCGATGTTCTTGCCAACAAACCACGGCAGGAGCAAGTCTTCGAGTTGGTCGAGCAACTTGGTCGTGCCTTGGTTGAGTTCGTCGGCAATGAGCACCAAACGAGCTTGACGTGCGACCTCTTTGCCGAAGAAATACGGGTCCAACGCATGCGGCGTATAGTTCGAGTCATTCTTTAGCGCGACCAAAAGTGGCATTATCGCTTCCGTGGCAATTGGACGTTGGGAATGGAATCCCACCTCTTGGAATGTATCGGCAAGTCGCCATGAGTTGCCCACCACAAGCGACATGTTACCCTTGATCGTACGATGGCCAAACTGCCCGAGAAGGGTGCTCGGCGTGGAAGATGCAAATGGACCACCAGAAGTCGAGGAGTGCATGACAGTAGTCGTCAACGAACGATTGCGGCCAGATACGAGACTATCGACGTGATGCGGATGCGCCAGCATCAGTAAAGATGCACCCGCGATTGAATCGTTAGTCGTGGCGGCAGTTTTCCAAGTAAACTCCATAATGCCTGTGGTGTCGTTGGAAGAAAGGGTCACAGCAGACGCGACAGGAACGATTGATGCATGTTGACGCAAGAGCGCGGCGGTGCCTTCAGGATTGCTGCGAGGTACAATAGCGGCGCGCACGATGCCTATGATCGAAGAATTGAATAGTGTGATCTCTTAAAGAAATAAACACCACCCTCTCACCTGAAAACGTTTCGTCTTGAACGGCAAAAGAAGTCGAGTTCACGCTCACGGTGACATTTTTGGGGAAGAAAAGAAGCCACTCTTGAGTCTTCTGGCGCTCCATTTGAGTGATGAGTGTGAACATGGTACCAAATAGAGTAGTGGGGGTCTTGGACGAGAGTGTTTGGTTGTTGCATCGAAGCATGTTGAAGTACGTCGTAGTAATCACGGGGGCACTAAGTGTGTAGTTGATCGAAATATACGGGGAGCCACGCGCCAAGAGGACGGTGAAAGTCGTTCCATTGGATTCATTTCGGTACTGAAGATGAACCGTGAGTGGATCGAAAGCGACAATTTGACGAGACACACTTGGCACGACGGTGCCGAAGGTAAGGTCGGCACTGAAATATTCCTCGATCTTGCTCGGCTCTTCTACACGTCGGTCGTCGCCATAGGACACCTTACACGTAAAATGTTACTAATTTGCGCACTGTGCAAGCGCGGACCTGCATGACATGCGGCCAACTGGCAATTGTATACGGAGAGAGGGTAACTTGCCCCGCGCCTGCACGATAAATTGAGAGTTAGGGTGGATTTATGCTCAATGGAAGGTACAATTGGAGGCAGCATGATTACCTGTGTTTTGCCCGTGTGAGTCACTGATGAGGAGATTAGTCCACCATGCATTTGTGGGGACAGGTCGCTTGAGCAAGTCTTCTGCAATTAACTTTGGTCGGATGAGATTTGTTTCCTTGATAAACGGCGGTTCCATCACGTCGCTTGTCCATGGAGCAAGGGGGACATCCGCGATGAACACGGCAGGAATTGTCAAGCTTGTCCACCACCAGACGCCCGTCACACATGCCGCGAGGGTTGCGATTCCGCCGAAGCACATGAATTGGCGATGCCTGCGGTCTTGGAGCTTCCGCTTCTCGGTGGCTGTGGGCAGAAGCGGCGTCGACTCTTCCTGGGTCGTTACCATGGTCGTCTTCTTCAACACTGAACTGGGAATCGTATCAACAAAGTGTCCGGATAGTGAATCTATTGCCTCATTTATCTTGATATTTGTATTTCCTTTCGCGGACTTTCGGCGTGATGATGCAATATCCGGATTGACTCCCTTTCGAAGAGTTGAGAGCATCTCACTGTTATTGTTGGTGGATGAGGTGGACGCAAGGGGCACGGTGCAGCTCACCGTCCATTGCCCCCCCTGATGGCAACCTCGCCGCCTTTACCATGCGAGTACCATGAAGCAAGCCACCATGCGAGTTGTGAAGGTCGTTTTGCTGTGACTTCATGCTCGCCAAATAAAGCGTAATCTGGCTGTGCTGCGGTGTGAACCCCACGACAGGAAACAGTTGGTAGAAGGTTGCACGTTTTACTTCACTTACGCATCCAACATTTGCAAAACGAGGCACCAAAACGAGATCGATTGGGGGGTAAACGCGCATTGACCGTCACCGACCATGACCAAAGGCGATGGACGCGAGGAAGTACCGACGCCGTGCCAGTGGCCTTCCAAGTGAGAATTTAGCGCGGGCTCGGGCAACCGCCGCGGACGACATTGCACGCATCGTGCCATGGTAGCTGCGCAAGATGGGAATCATGTCGTGAAGCTCATGTTGCATCGCGTACATGAGCGCCTTCCTTGAGCATCCTTCCGTACGGTGTGTGTGAAGAAACCGAACGACATCGTGATGCCCGTTTCGCATGGCACCATCCATTGCATACGTGCTGCAGCCTTCTTGGCGATGGGTATGGAGGAACTGCACAATCTCCAAATGGCCATGAGACGCAGCAAAGTCCATCGCGACAGCACTTCCGCCTTCCGGTCGATGGAAGTGGAGATATCGCACCACGTTGTAATGGCCATTGCGAGCCGCGTAGTCCATCGCTCGGAATGATGAGGGGATTTCTGGCCGAGTTGTATGCAAAAACTGGACGACAGCCAAATGCCCCGCCTCGGCCGCGCCAATCATGGCTTTTTCAGTCCATCCGTCGTCGCTATGCGCGTGCAAGAACTCCAACACGTGAAGATGGCCATACGTGGCCGCCAAATCCATCGCTCTTGATGTCCACGGGAACCCACGGAAATGAAACTGCTGGACGAGGTCGAGATGGCCGTGACGGGCAGCGCAGTCGATCAGTTCTGGCGTGATCATTTCCTGCCGACAGCATTGCAAGACGCGATCAACGTAAGAAACGTCATGACAAGCAACGACAGCATGCAGGACATATCGTGAGTCGGCGACCGTGGCTAAGCTGAGGTCCGTGGGCTGCATGGCTACTGTCGATAGCGACGAAGGACGCTGCGCAAGGCTCTTCCACGCAGCATATAAAGGGAGCAGCTCCACAAAGACTCCATCTTGGAACGACGTAATGACTCGGAGCAGGTGAGCGTCCACGAGAACTGGAAACGACGACATACAAACGCGATCGATGGCAAAATGTGCTTGGAGGATCCGACGACTGTTCATCAGGGTGCGCTAGGTTATCCGGGCAACATCCACTTTATCCGGATGTTTTCCGATCTTAGAGGCACTCAACATTGGAGCAATCCACGCCACAACAACAATCGTGAAATATTGAACGAAGGCTGAAGTTGATCCATGACTTGCAAGCCAATGATTCAAACATTACCCCCCTCAGATCTCTCTGCACCAGGATATAGCTCGAACTAGGCAAGGTTGTGCAGCCTTGTAAATCTATCACTGCCTCCACCAAGCGCTCTTTCGACCATTAGTCAAACCGCTTGATGTGAGGTAGTCCCGGAGGTTTTCAGGCTAGTTACAGGTTTTAGGAGATATGGTTGAGTTCTAGACTATTTGTATATATACAGTATATTCAAACGAGATCCGTCGGTTTCAGAATTCGAAACGGCTGCGCCATCGAATTAACTGTAAATATACACAAGAACGCGGACACAGTATTGAAAAGAAACGGACGGCGGCAATGCATCGACGACCTGTCAAGGGAGGAACTGGATGGGACTGCAAGGCAGAAAACGCTAAGGCGGCTGGATTGTACTACGAAATCGCCAACGTGGGCAAAGTCGTGGAAGCGTCCAAGAAGCGCATCACGTGGCGCATTAAGATGATAGAAGGCAAGGAGTATGAAATCTCCCTCACGCACTCGATTGCAAGCGGGAAGAAAGTGCTCAGAATCGACGGCATCGTGACCCATCAAACGACGACGGTACGGTGATCACCATACAACCTACTTCTTCATGAAGTGTTCTCGGTTAGTTTGCGCTCGGCGACTGGGACTATTGCTTTAACCTTGGCAACCACGTCGTTCACTGCATTATTAAACCGTCCGTCGAACTCAATGACAGCTACGGTATTGTTAGATTCACTCAATTGCTGACAATGCGCTGATGATATTTGTGTTAGACTTGATCGTGGATGGTATTTCGTTCCGGCGGTTGCCCGAAGACGCGATAAAAGCCAAGCCTGAACCCGTTGTCGTGCGCGGGAAGAAAGCGCTGAGTCGCGAGCCGTCTGCGACGCAGTTGGGCAGTCGGACAGATTCGTCGTCGGGGCCATGGGAGTGCTCGGCATGCACTCTCATCAACGAAAAGCCCCTCGCCCCCATCTGCGAAGCATGTGGTGCAGCGAAGCCAAAGTTTGCAGGTGTGTTCAACTTGAATTTTTCGATGCAACTGAGAAGGTCGTGGCACAGTGGTTCGCCAGCACTCCACTCAACTTGTTGGTGACATGCCTCCTCAGAGACCGACGGTACTCATCTTTCGACCGATCGGCATTTGGCTGAGGCATATTGGTGCATAGGCAAGTCATTCAAACGACAGCGTAAGCGACGCGGTGTTCAATCCATTTGGGGCTCCATCCAACACGTCGTGGGTTGATTTTGACAAGCCGGAGCCGACACAGCAACAACCAGTACGCCAGACCCCCAACGACCCGTTTGCCCCTTCGCCTCCTCCGTACATCTCGCAGCCTTCTTCTGGTATCCATGAAATTTCTGGCTGCTATACTGTCGTCTAACATTGTGCTAGATCACATCGCATCCATGCTACACGGGCTCGACTTTAACTACACGCCGCCACAGCCACCACCTCCCGCTCCCGTGACCCCTCTTCCAGTCGAACCCACGGCCCCCGCCGATCCGTTATGGGGGGCTCCTATCGTTGACCTCAACTTAAACCCAGAGGCCAAAGTCCCGCCCATGAAGAGCGCCAAGAGCATGCAGTCCATGGAACAAGCGCGACTTGCGACAACGGGATCGTCCACGAAGCAGCTCCAGATACCACCACCTGCGTATACGGCGCCACCTCCTGTCTACGGAGCGCCCCCTTCGTTCCAGGTTAACCCAGGGTTCCAGACATTTGCACCGCCGCAGCACATTGTTCCTCCGCAGATGCCAAACCAGTTCGCTACGTACGGCGCGCCAATGTTGGGTGGCGGAGTGCAGCCCCGCGCGCCACAGCAGCAATTCATGGCCAACATGACTAACGTCCCTCCCCCCAAGGTCGCGACAGCCAGCCAACAGCAGCGCCCGAACTTGGGCGATCCTTTTGCTACGCTGTCGTAGTTCGCACTTCCTACTATTGATCGACTGAAATTGCACAATATTCGGCCAAAGCCGCGGTTCTTTGTGAATTTGACATGTTTCAAACAGCCAATCAAAATGTCAATCAAATCACTTGCCAAGAGGGAAAGGTCTTGCATTCATACTTTCGTCGACGAATGGTGTCACTAGTTAATGCTATACTTGAAAAAAAAAAAAAGGTGCACATTTCGCCGTCGTCCAACCATTTTTCCCACTTCTTGATCGCGTTGACGTTGATATTGAGCGGGTTGTTGACGGCATGCTTGTCTTTCGTCCTTGAGCAGATCGAGAAGCTGAACTGAAAAAATGGAGTTCACGTATTTCTCTAAAGTGCGACGTCGTGTTAAGTGCATCCATGTATTGTCCAAAGTATTCGCTTTTTGTCGACATGACTCCCATTACGGCGATGACGCCGTACAGCAAACACGCTGGTTGTTGATAAGGCATAAATGCAGTATCATCGTCGCCACCTGCGACGCACGGCGCCGTACACGTTTCGGCTTCGCTGTGGCTTATCTGTTTTCTAGCTTGACGAAGCAGACTTCCAAGGAAAGCAAGGCGGGGTATGCATTGACGAGGATTAGCATTAGGGACTAGGGAAACAAGGAACAGCGCCATCCACGAGCAATGCGGGATGGAGGATAAGTACGGGTACTCGGGCAATAATAAGTGGAAGTCGCGCGTCACTTTTACGAATCCACTTCCATGTTGGACGACGCGAGATGTGGCTGCAGCGGGTCTCGTCGGGGTCCGCCGGTTTGCCCCATCATCGCCATGTACATGGCGGTTTGCATGACCGAGTCGCCGACTGGAATCTCTGTAAACATGCGCTCGGTCCCGTCCAAGATCGAGATCAGTTGCGGGTAGTTGGCAAACGGACTCTGGTTCACCATCTTGCGCATGTACTTGGTGCGCGTGTTATGCCCGGTCATTTTGTCGTGCTTTTTCAGAATCTTGGAGAACCCTTGGTAGTTGGTCACAGCGTAGTTTTCCAGTTGGATGCATTCGCCGTAGAAGTGGACGCAAGCGACCATGAGTCGTTTGGCATCAATTTCGTCCACTTCGGTCTTCTTCTTCATGTCTTTCAGCACTGCCTGGAGTTGCTGAAACCGAAACAAATATCGCTTTTCTTCGGCGACGTAGAAGCATGCTAGTTTCCTCAGTTGGTCGCGCAGTTCCGTGAAGAAATCGATTTCTTCTTGGCACTGGGTCAAGTCGACTTCACGCGGGTCTTCCGAATCGACACTTGCCCGCGCGGTCGGCGATGTCGGCGCCGTTTTCACAACGGCCTTGATGCGCTTCTTGAGCGCTTTGTAATTCATCCAAAACGGACCCCATTCCGGGTTGGATTGGTTCACCGCGTTCAGCAACTCCTTCCCGAACTTCATCTTGTTCTATACACGACTCGAAGGCAATGGTCCAAGTGGGGTTGTTCCGTTCTGGTCCCCGTATCCCCGCGTCGCACGTTCCTCAGACCTTGAGTAATTTGGTAGTGTTGGGTCAAGATGCACCGCGGTTCGGGCGAGGCAATTTTAGCTTGGAAAATCTATGCCGAATCTACACCCCTTCCCCCTGGACTAACGCGTTCCTTGTGATCCACGCATACATTTACCAAGATAGCATTGAATTGCCGGAAAAAAATGTGGTTGGGCCATTTTGTCACTGAGCATCTTGTTTTGATTGGCTATAATAGTCTGTATTCGACTACTAATTGGCTAAAATCATTGCTTTTCACCAGTACAAGATGAGCATTGAGGTCGACAGCAGACGGACGGATGACGTTGCATCCTGGTCCCGAAGCGCGTTGCATTAAAATGCGTTAAGGCATCTTGCGAGGAAGGGTTTGATGGAGGGCGAAGGGACTAGCAAAGTGTCTTGCATGTTGAGCACAAATGCATTTCGCGAATGTCGCAGGTGCCGTAGCCATAGCTTTTGCTTGGAAACATTTGTTGCTGGTCAAGCTGCAACCCAGATGCCTCTCGCCCACATGATTGATGTGGCATTTTCCAGCATCACCACGTCCAATGCACACCAGCATCAATCATCGCGCCCATCGCTCTTCCCATTGACGCACTCAGTTCACATGGCGCCATGTGAACAGTGTGCATGATGATCCTGTTTGTTATGCTGCTGCCAAGATTTCGTGATAACAAATCATCCAGATAATTTCATTCCAATCACACACAAGAATTGAATCTATCCGGAATACAGAAATTGCGCGCCAAAAACGTCATTATTTATTTAAGACTGTCCTGTCTCCTTCTCTTCGTCAGACGCCGCGCCCCCATCTGTGCGACGAAGGAACTCGAGGCGCGTCGAGCTCCCTTCAGGTCGTACGAAGGCACTGACGTCTTCAATGGTCTCGTCCTCTTCGTCACTCCAAGCATCTTGAGGCACCTGGGGAGCCGCCACCGGCGCAGCGGCTACCTTTTCCCATCCACGACCCACCGGCAACGTCACATTCCGGTCCACGTACACACGGGCACGACGAGTCTGACGCTTCGGTCCTTGGGATTCTTCAAGAAGACACTTCGAAAGCGACATCGGTGGTAGGGTTGAAGTTTGCAACTTGTACAGAGAGATGAAGCGGTGAGGCTCTGTATCCCGCGACTCCGACTTGAGACCGTAAAACACGGCCAACTCGTGAATCATACGCCGCTAGAAGTGGATCCAACAAGAAATTCTCGTAATGAACGTCGCGGTATGGAGGATACGAGACATACCTGTTCCCTCGGCATTGCCTTCAGGTGCGTACTGAAGCATGCGCGATCAGCCATCATGTCCTCGATCTTCTTTTCAACAGCAACAAGCGTGCGGAATTTGGAACGCCCCCAGTCTTTGAGCTCTTGCGAATATTGCGGTCGAAGCTCCTTTTCCAGGGCGTCTTCTGTCTTCGGGCCGCGGCCAAAGGCTGATGCCAACAGTGCATTCCGAGACAACATAGCGCGAGGCACAGACGACGGGGCAGGAGCCGCGACAGCTGTCGGACGGATCATTGCGGGTGGTGTGACTGGTGCAAGCTTGGCCCAGGGAGTCGCCGAAGGGGCCGCCGTTGGAAGTGCCGGAAATTCTTCTTGCTGTCGCGACGCTGACGGAGGAGGCCCAACGAACTCCCATGAGTCATTGTTACTTCCAGACGACACGACATTGGACGCGCCGCCTTCGTCCTCCATGCCTCGACGCACTGTGAAGGCAATTCGAATGCGGTTGTCCTGGTTCCCATGGACCGAAAACATGTGTGCTTGGAAGTCAATGTCGTTGCTGAACACAACAAAGCCCTTGGCAATGCTACGACAGGACATAAGTCACGATCGCGTTTGACGCAAGGCCGACGACTCCACGTACCAAGACGGGTCTTCGCAAAATAAGTGTTGTCGTCGAAAGTGCGTTTCCAGCCCCTTGCTAGAAGATGAATTGTGTTGTCAGGATAAAGACCAACGCCCAAGGCAGGATGTGACACGTACTAGTTGCGGTAGTAGCGGTGCTGAACTTCCGGGCAGAGATGGCACTTGAAGTGGTCGCGTTCGAGGTGCACATGCAATTCCACGTCGCTGTAGTACCGAACGTGGCAGAATTCACAAAGCGGATGGCGCTCGCGGGAAGTGGCCGACACCGTCGATGTTTGATGGTGCATGAGCTCCTTCATCGTGTACATCGGGTACTCCCCCACGAAAAAGTGCTGGTGCTGTACGCACAGGTCACAAAAGTACGTTGCGTGCTCGTTCTCCATGTGCAGCTGCAAGTCTTCCAATACGCGAAACTTTACCCTGTTCGCTGTCGGGCACCGACGGCAGTACAAGTCCCGACGACGGACTAACGACTCGTAGTGTGCGTCGCACCGGCTGAAGAACATTTCCGACCGATCGTCCAACAGAACGCCCGGGCCACCCGTGTCGCCCCAAATGCCAAAGCTCGCGTATGGTGCAATGACGTCGGTGACAATGACGCGGGGGTTTGCTTGTTTGCAGATGGGACAGTTGAAGTCCTTCATCAAGAGCCGCATGCGCATCGAACACGTTGAGCAAATACCCTCGTGATTGCATTCTCCAATTGCGTGGTATCGAAACGGATTGGCGCACACCAAACACAGCTCGCGTGCCTCTTTCGACTCGGAGCGTTCGTCATCGTCTTCGTTGACGACCGTTGATTTGGCAAGCGTGGCAGCATCTCTCGATTTTCGGTTCCGACCCCCACGTGAGCCACGAGCACTTGGATGTACAAGCGGTGTCGCGGGGTTAGCGGTTGCCGTGGTGTCTTTCGTGCGGTCGGAATTGTTTGCTGGTGCACCTGTCACTACGATGGGCGGCTGCTCGGTGGTCCCTCGGCTTCTTCGGGATCGCTGCTGTGGATTTTGCTTCTTGGACGCGGCGTTGTCGGGTGTGGGAATCACCGACGCACCGTGCTGAAGTGACGGCGTAAACGTCGCAGCGTTCGGTCGAAGGATGCCAGACTGCTCGACAGTGGCCGATGGCACCACCAGCTGGGCCGGCTTTTTCTTGCGCGAGTGCGACGCCTTTGATGTGCTGCTTCGGTTCGAGTTTACTGTGCCTTGTGATTGTGCTGGTGCTGCCGCGCCGCGGACGGCGACCGACGTACTCGCGCGGGACGTCGCCATACTTCCAACGAGGAAATGGAAATTTCTGACCATTGCGTCGCGTCGACCAACATTCCGAACACAAAGACCGTCACTCTCTTTCTCCCGCCCATACGAAAGCGAGGAGAAAGATCCGCAGGAATGACACCATGACCACCAAGTCAATAAGCATTCGTACGTAGAGTTCCATTTTGTGTGTGCTTAGGTTGGTCGGCTCGCGGGGGCGGCGTAGTGCCAAAGCCACGCGTTGTGCTCATTGTGGAAGCGAAAGTACGCGCAAGGCGGTGCCGTCGACGCCAACGTGTCGAGCCCTCTCGCCACGGCCTACGGGCAAAAGGATGCCATCAGTCCTTTGTTCACGAAGCATGTGTGTTGTCATCGTCTGCTGTTATTGCGATGTGGAACGTACCATATCTAGCTCGTCGATGGGGGCCACCGGATTGACAAACCTATGGCCAGAGTATCAAGACCAAGCATCGAGTTGAACGGTGGCATACATGGACATGCGAAAGAGTGCCAAGACGTCAGCGCGCGTGCCGCATTGAGACGGCAGTCGAGCGACAGCATCGCGAACGACGTTGAGCACTGTGACTTGCGGAGGTACGTCTGGGACCAGCACCGCCGACGCTAACCGATCCGACGAGAGAGGCGGGAAGCACGGGCCAACGAGGGTTTGGAAGCCCGAGTCTCCGTCGAAATAACTACCCGTGATATGAATGCAAAACACAAAAAGATGGCAAGACCAACGCACATGAAGGGCTGGCGGGCATGTTGGTATCGCTGCAATTCCTGTTGCTGGAATGCATCGCGGAGCAAGGGGTACTGACGATGCAATGGAAGCTACCAACGCGAGTGCCGTGGTCACAATCCCGTGGGTCGCACGTCGACTTGGACGTACATTGGCCCGCTTGACCACGAACGACGGTGGGAGTAGAACTGTGTCATGTACGCTGCCGTTCCCAGAAACAGGAGCGACTTTCGGCAGTTTGGCAGGGGGCGTGCACGCCCCATTGACCAAGTGCTGTGCGACGTCGGGATGTCGTTTGCGAGCGAGTTGCAATGCCGATCTGGGGATACGATTAGATTCAGATGACAAGGCGTGGCAAAGTCACGTACTGCAGATGCTGCACGGACGGATCCACGAGGTCGAAAGGCGACCGGAAGAGTCGCTCCAGTAAGAGCAAGCGGTGCATCATGTCGGCGTCGACTTTGCCTATGTAAGACGGGAGAGTTGAGTTGGCCATGGGGTGAAAAGATAAAGTCTGCGGTACCGTCTTCACGACGCCATGCAAACGTGTTGGTCGTGGCAACGTGTTCGACGAAAGGACTGCTCCACGATGTGTCTTGGTCATCTGGCGATGCGGACGACGGATCGACGGGCCGACTGAGGAACAACAACGCACTGTGGATATAATGGGAGGCGCGCATCTGCTGCGGCCGCTCTAGACACAACCTGTCACGTCCTTCGTCATCAAGATGATTGGAAGCGTGCACCAGAGAGTGGAGGGATCGATCGAGGGGCGTGAGTTTCCAAGTGAGCGGTAATTGAATCCACGGTCGCAGGCCCTAAACTTGTCAACGCGTGTCGAATGGCCATGAAAATTGAGTGGTCGACGTCGTCGAGAGCTTGTTTACACGGTGGAATGACTGAAATATCCAACTGCAACATCGAGTATGACCACGCCGATCAAATCGGCGGCAGTCCAACTCACCTCGGGATTCAGCGCAAGCTCGTCCGCGGGAAGCACTTGCTTGAGACACTGCGTTCGATTTTGAATGATCGACTGCAGCAGTTGCTTCGTGAAGACGCGTTTGCGGGCGTCAAATGCGGCTTTCGCCACCGCACGCGCCGTGGAGCGTGCGTCACTTGGAAAGTAGAACGACATCAACGGGTTGCCAAAGTTGAAATTCGCGCCGCGAAAGAGTTGGCGGAGGTTCTCGGCCGTCGCGTCCTCGGCAGACAAGTCCCACCATCCATCCAACGGCGGCAAGTCGGCCACCAAGTCTTGTTGTTCCTCGAACGACAGTCGATCCCATGCATCTGGCGGCAGAAGCGACAGCAAGTTGATGGGTACATCATCTATTCCAGAGCAATGTCAGACGCAAGCATGGCATTTCGTGAAAGGAAGCGATACCTGCAGGAGGCACTGGCGCTGTCGAGGACACGTTACGGGGTGGTAGTGGCACGGACACGAGTTCTACACAGCGCCGCCACCACGTGCATGACTTTCTCCTTCTCATCATCAACGACCACACGACTTACTCGGCACACGTGGCTGATACGGTTTAGATAACTCCACACGGAGCTGCGGTCCGCACGCGCCGGTCGGCATGTCTCCAGCCACAATGTGCAAATCCTTCGCTCAAAATAAACTCCATTGATCACAATATATGAGGACAAACCGTAATCGCATTCGCACAAGTGTCATCGAAAGGGGCAATTTTGTACGGATTGGGGGCAGGCGTCATCCGGATAAAATGGCTGAATAAGCTCAGCCATGCGGGAACGGACGTCGAGTCGCGACGGTAGTCGGTGATAGAGTATCTGTGGTGCAGACGATGGACCTCTGGCACAGCTCATGGCGGTGATGCAGTGCAGCGCTTCATTCCGTCGTGGGACCGTGATTCTTATGAGAGCGAAACGATTCCCGTTTCCGATGCAACGGCTGTAGATCCAAGAATACACGCATTTTTCAGGCAAAGCGACCGTTCTTCGCACCACAACGGCCCGCGCCTTCCACGTACCTCCTCGAAGGATGGAGGCCTTCGTGGTCGTCTTCGTCAGCCTCGTGGCATGGCAATGTCTTCCATCTGTCGTCGCGTACGACGTCGTGCTGGGCGTGCTCGTGCCGCATCAATCTGACGTGGCACTGCAGGAGGCCGTCTTCTCCGCCATCGCCGACGCATCGCGGGACGATCCATCGTTGAATGTGACTGCCGTGATTGCTGACACAGGATGCAACGACACAGGCACGCTCGCGGCGATGCAAACGTTTGCCACAAGAGGAGTCACGGCAGTCGTTGGACCAGGGTGTGCCGCGGGATGCCAGCACAGCGTCCCGTTCAGCAAGCTGAAGCAATGGACACATATCGCAACAGGATGTGGTGCATACGCCGTGCCTCTGGAACACAGCCGAGTGTATCAAATGGCTCCGCCAGACTCGACAAAGATAATTGCCGCAGAGCTTGTCGCCAAAACCTACACCGGCGGCGGTGGCGTGGCTTACGTCGTCCCATGGACAAGCGAATGGACCACAACATTGGCATCACTCAAGGGCGTTGTGCCTTCGTCACGATGGTTCTTTTATGACGACACCACGTTGTCGTCGGTTCTCACCGTCGTCCAAGGAGTTGCCGACATCAAAGTAATCGCGTTCGACGTTCCCATGTCGGGTCTTGCGGCGTTTGTGGTGCAGGCACAGCGGCCCACAGTAGCCTTGCTCGGCCTCACCCTCGAGTTGGACCTCTTCCTCCGGTCGCTTCCACTGTTCCAAGCCACGTCGCACGTGCTCTCTATTTCGTTTTCCAAGACTGCTGCAGTCAACTTGACTCAACCGACGACCCTTGCCGCCGCGTACATGTACGACGCCACAATCACTGCCTGCCGCAGTCAAAATCCACTGTCGACCGTTTCCGCCGCATACACCGGAGCATCAGGCGCCATCGATTGGGTCCAGCGCATTCGAGCTCCGCTGTTTCAACTGTATGTGCTGCCTGCCGGGTCGTCGGGGGGAGTTGTCGTTGCCCTTGGAACGTTTTCGTTGTCGCTGACATCCACGGTGGTGTACACAGACCACCAAACACCACCAAACGCCATTACGTGGAGCACAGTACCATCGGCATCTCCGTCGACTTCGAAAGACCTGCCGTACGGCCCGTCGATTCTTGGTGGCATTTGTTTGTCGAGTGCTTGTTGCCTGGCGTTTTTGATCCGCATGTTCCTCCCGCCATACTGGCTGGTGGGGCTGTTTTTTGCCGGATTTGATCGGCAGAAGGACACCGTGGACGAAGAAACGTTCCAGGTGTACACGGTCCAGGAAAAAGACGCTGCCAAACGACGCAACTCCCAAGTTCTCGTTGTTCAAACGGTATTGGACGTGACCAACCTGGGGCTCGGCCTTGCAGTCTACTTTGGATTTGTCATTGGCCAGGATAGCAGCATTCCCCGCATCGCGTTCTACTCGGTCGCCCTCGGCAGCCAGGTCGCGTTCCTTCCATCTCTCTTGTCCGTTCGCATTCCCATGATTCTGCACTACACAAAGTACCGCGGCGTGTTTGTCAAAGACAACAAGATCCGAACGGAGGCGCTCGACTTTTCGTTCCCGACCACCAACCATCACATTGGAAGCGGCGTGGTCGCGGGTGCCGGGGGCTCGCGCATGGAAATCCCCGCCGTCATATGTATGTGTTTCCGTCTTGCTTTACGAACACGTCATGATGAGAATTCTTGTAGTTGGCCTGGAAGCTACCTTGCAGCACGTGCAGCAGGAACATTTGGACGTCGCGAGCTCGCTCTTGCGTCTGTGGTTGGAGGAAGTGCCTATACTGGGCATCAACGTGTTTTATCTTCTCGACGGTGTCGTAACGTTGGACGACGCTGCCATGGTGACAGTCGCCACGTTTGGCACGATGGTCGCCACGGGGTTCAAGCTCCATTTGGTCAACCGCCTCAGCGAACTGTACTTCAAGAGGCGAGGCATTCTCTTCGACATTGCGATGGCGCGACTCGAAAGTAAGCAGCGGCGGTCGTCCTACAACTAACATAATGCTATCACTTCACTGGAATCAACCGTGGCATTGAAGGGGCATAGTCATTGTTGCCGCTGGGGCCCTTGGAGCTCACCGACTGATCACCATATTCACGTGACCACAATCGTACCCACACGCGTCTGTGGGCAGCTCAAGCCCGTGCAACCTGGATGCGAGTGGGTTGCTTGGGCAAGGTCACACATCCTTACCCTGCAGTGAAATACTAGTAGTTGTTCTTGGCCTGGCGGTGCCCGCATAAACGGGGCACGCCATCCGGATACCGGAACTCGTCGTTACTCGTGGTGGAATTTCCGTTCGGCGCGGCCACGTACAAAGGGCAGGTCTGACATGGAGCGGTCGAAAGGCCGGCAAGCGGGGACGCTGCCGTCCCCAAAGCGCATTCCACTTCAGGTTCCCATGTCGCCACCAAGAATTGCCGTGTCGCCCATCGTATACGCTGCAGAATCGTCGTCTACAAGCTCAACACCCACACCGCCCTCGTCCGGTTCTGCCATTGACCGAGATGCGCTGGCAGTGAAGGTGTGTCCTTCGTGCCGCGAAGAGTTCTCGCTTTTTCGAAGGCGGTATCGATGCCCGGTACAGTCGCAAACTTTCCATGTTCGTCAAGCTCAGACTATCGTTGCAGTACTGCTTGGACGTGGTGTGTCGAAAATGTTCCAAGTCCCTCAAGAAAGGTCAACACCACAACGACGTCATTCCCCATACCTCGACATCGACACCAACCTCCCCCAACTCTTCAGCGGGAAGCAGTCCGTTTGATGACGGGACGATGTCCCAGTCGTCGATTTCGTCGTCCGTGTCGAGCAACGTGTCGTCGACGTCGAATCGCCGTGTCAAGGCGCGATGTTGCAAAACATGTGCCACGTTCACACCTACAATGAAAGCTCCGTCGCGATGTGAGTTATGCCGTTCGACAGCTGCTGTCTTCCGCAAGAAACTCAAGTGCCAAGTGTGCCAAAAATTTGCGTGCAAGGCGTGCGGGGAACATCAAGACGGAGTTCCGTTTGGCATCCAGAGTGAAGCAAAAGTGTGGATTTGTAACGTATGTGTCGGCACATTCGAGAAGCAACGAGAGATATTGCTTCAGCATTGCCATCTTTGCAAGGAAAAGTTCGCCGAATTCAAACGCCGCTGCAAGTGCAAGGTAGGTCCGATTCTCCATCGCGATATCCTCTTACCTTTTCATTTAGTCGTGTGGGGCAACAACGTGCGTGCAGTGTTCGGTATCAGTTGAGGCAACGACACCCGGACAGACCCTCAAACTCTCTGTGCGAGAATGTCGACAGTGTGTGGAGGCATCGAAAGCGAAAGCGCCAAGGAGTGAAGACGACGCCACAAGTCGCACAAGTAGCTTGCACCTCATATCTGCCTTCGAGTTCTCCAAGGATGATCGCGACAGGTCGTCCTTTGGGTCGCTGATGCGGACAGTCGAGAGGTCGTGTGCTGGCGTCCTTATTGCCGTCGGTGTGACCGTCGTCATAGTCGTTGCTCTCCTTGTGTACTTCTATGTTGTGTCGATGGTGATCGACGACTCGTGGGTCGCGGCATGGTACCGACACAATCAAGAAGACCTCTAGTTGATGTGACCGTTCGCGCGCAAATTTGAAAATGTCGACTGATTATTAAAAATCCAGATATGGTGTGTTGATATCCGGATATTGTCCAGATTCAATTTTCCTCACTTCTTCACAATGGTCACGACACGCCGAGGAACTGGGGTCGATGTCGACCCGGCTAGCGCCGCTAAATCTCCCAAGGGGCTTAAGTCCCCGCGCCCAGAAAAGTCTCCGAAAGGCGCGAAAGCGGCTGGCGGGAAGAACCATGTTGCCGGCGACAACAGCGATGCTGTCCTCAAACATGTTTTGGTGCTTTTTCGCCATGGCGACCGTAGCCCAATCACCACACAAGTGGGCAAGCACTTGGTCATGGATGCGGCGGAGAAAGACTACTGGGCGTCGAAACTCCCGTCCGACGAACACATTGAAAAGCTGAGTAAGGGTGCCAAGGTCACTGGTATGGAACCACATCTTCCACCGCCAAAAGCGCCGCGAGATGGTGGAACCTACCCCAATGGCCAGCTGACTGTCCGCGGCTTGCAGCAAATGGAAGAAAAAGGCAAGGGTCTTCGTGCACACTACGTTGACTTCTTGGCTGACATCCATGAGAGGGACGTTTACATCCGGTCGACAAACGTCCGCCGCACAATCCGGTCATGCCTGGCGCTTCTCCATGGATGCTTCCCCGAGCTCGTTGGCGACGATAGGTTGCATATTCGCATCAACACGGACGTCACCCTCGAGCCGTCGTTCACCCAGGCCGACTACGGCCGCCTCCTAGCGAGATACAAAGACCCGGAGCACATAGGGTCCGTGAACCTACCACCGCTTCCCGATACCGTCGGGTGCACCACGACTCTAGACAAGGAGATTCGCGAAGTTATCGGGATCCACGATAACGACCCCATTTGCTACACTTCCCGTACGTCGCCGTGTTCAATATGTCATCGAACTGACCCATGTCTCGTTGTTTGAAGTGCGAGAAGTGCTGGTGTGCCGCAATGCCCACGACGTCCCGTTCCCTCGGGGTATGGACCAAGCCATGTACAACAAGCTCGTGGATTACAACACGTGGGAATTCCACGCGCTGTTTGGGGACGCGAACGACTGCTTTGACGGGTTCCACAAAGGCGTAGCTGAAATCTTCCACTTGCTGCATGCTGTGACCGAGGTACGACGTATAAAGTAGTGTCCTATGTGGTGTTCTCAAGGCGTGGCACGTTCCAGGGCAAGCACGAGCCTCGCGCGAGCCTCATGGCTGTCCACGACAGCACGCTGATTGCACTCTGGAAAGCCATGCAACTCGAAGTCGGCATTGTGTTTCCCACGTATGCCTCCCTCACCGCGATTGAGTTGTACCAGGACACGTCGTCCCTCGAGTGGTTCCTCGAAGTCCATGTTGACCACGCGCCGATTCACTTTAAGGGACACAAGCACGCGATCCGCACACCGTTTGTGCACTTGGAAGAAATTGTCCATAAATTCCTGAAGAAAAGTCCCAAGAAGCGACCGGTGGACGACGAAGCTGCACAGGCGGAGGAAGGTGAGGGTGCCGTCAAGAAAGCCAAGGTTGAGGCGTAGAACATGCTCCATTTTCGGGAACATGGTGCGGATTATAACGTCAACCACTGTATGACATGTTATCTGGGATGTGCAAGCATCGTGCCGAGTTGGTGGTCCAACCGATCGAGGTGGTCGTGACAGCGAGGCAACGATGGAACGACGAGCTCTTCATCGAAGGCATCGACCGAGTCACCGAGGAAAGGTGAGGGTGCTGCATGCGACAGCCGTCGCAGGCATCCACGCAACTCTTCAGACACTTGCCGTTCCGCAGCAAGTTGTGCTTGTACACCACGGAGTTGACTTCTGGCCTTGACAATCAGCATTCGATAGATGGCGATCGAGTCGTCTGAATCGTCCGTAGACGAAGAGCAAGTTGGACTCCTGGGAACGGGTAGCGCGGCAGCAGCTCGCAGGAGGGACACTTCTTCCAGCGCCCCTTTCAGGGCTGCACGAAGGTCGGCGCAATTGCGGCAGGATCCCATAGCGACGATTCCAGCTTGGTACTGTTGTGGATTCTCTCTGGGTCCGATGTAAAAATTCCAAGAATATATGCAGTTTATTCTATTTACATTATATAGAACGTCATGTTAATACTCATGTGCGCTTCATAGTTTAAATATTAATCCCTTGACCCGAAACCTTTGCACTCAAAACTGCCGACAACTTTGATCTGCCTGAGGCGGCGTCGATGGACGGTGATACGAAATGGCCACCACCTTATCGTCCTGCAGCGATTCGTAGACCAAGTCTTCGATGCTGTCTTCTGCGAACGCGCGCTCATGCAGCTTGAGACACATCTTCCGCACTTGCTCGTCGCTGTCTGCGACCCGCTTAGCAAACATGGCCTTGCACGCCTCGACTTCATTCGCAAGGGCTGCTCGTTGAGCTTCGACGTCGGATGCGAAGAACGCTTTTGCCATTGTGTGCTCTCTCGTTTCATCTTCAATCGTCGTTGTGTCGTCGTCAATTTCGTCACCACGCGGAGTCATGACGGCTGGACGAACGCATCGTCGCACGGCGGCGGCGATCACGCCTTCAACGTATCGCGCAACGTTCTGCTTTTGCGTCGCCTTGTTCGTATCGTTCATCAACTCGACTGCCAACGATAGCGCACACTCGGCGTCCATCGCGTCGCACTCGTCCCGCGTACTCGACCACGCTTGGAGCTCTCTTGTCGCGGCATTCTGCGCGTTGGCCATGGCAGCGTTTTCGGCAGCGACACTCGCAAACACAAGGTCTTCGTCGAAGAGAGCTTTCTGTGCTTTCGTTCGCTTCTCTGCGAGCAAAGTGCTCAGCACGACGTCGCGGTTCGATGTCGTGGCATGCTGAGACAATGGCACGCGGCGGCGGCTGGACTTGCGCGACATCTTCTTTACTTGCTCCGTTTCCTTCACGTGTTGGCCGTGCCCCCGCACCACGTAATTCCCCCCCGTGCCGTGCATAACCTGCCCAGGAGATTTCAATCACGACATGCTGGTCATCGTGGTCGTTCTAGGTGCCCAAGTGTGCAAATTCTCGGTGCACTGACCTGGACCACAGCCGCCATCGCGCGCTTTTCAACGTTCGACGCAGCGACTTTGGTCGAGAGCACGGTAACGTTGTCCTTGGGCGCGATGCGCAGGGACTGAGCCTGTTTGGAAATGTGCAGGAAGCTCTCAGCCTGCTTGTTGAAGTCCATTCGATGCTTCGCCCACTCGGACTCGAGGGCGGCATGTCGCTCCATGGCGACATGCGACAACGCGGCGCGCAAGTTGGCGCGGTGCTGGGCCGCGTCGATGCTCGAGTGGACGAACCCCAAGTGCACGGTATCCAGATCGAGCCACGCAAACGCGGTATACGCAATCGAAAGCATCTCGCATGCGACTCGAATATGGTTGCTCACGCCTGTGCGGCTAGTCTTTGCTTCCGACACGGCAAAGTAAGCATGCTTCAACGACGTCGTGGCTGCGTGTGCGGCGAATGCCTGGACCACGCGCGTTGCGTCCAGGTGGAGCAGTTCCAGTCTGTCCATCGTGATGCAATCATGGGATGTTGGCCACGGGGTGCTGCACGTACCTTTCATCGTCGGCCAGAATGTGATGAGGCGCGACGTCTCGGCCTTCCCGAGATTGCACGTGCCATGCTGCCAGAGCTTCAAATTGCGTGCACGCCCGCTGAAAATCCTGGACGGCGTCGCTGTAGAACTGCAGTGTCAAGTTCTTCACGAACATGTGCATGTGCCGGTCCCCGAGTGCTCGTAGCGCAAACCCCCGATACTTCCACGCGCTACAACACCAATCGTTTCCACAATAACTCAACACCACAACCAGTTCGAACACTTGCTTGGACGTACGTGGCAGAGTCACCGAGGGTTGCGTAGCTCTGCGCAAGCGTCGTAATCGTCGCCAGGTCGGTGGTGAACTGGTCGTCGTCCAAAGTACTGGCAAGCGTGGGACCGCAGCGTTCGTGCTTGCTCAACCGGTGCGCGACGGCGTCCAAGTCCCGTCGTTGGCGAGCCAGCTGACGACTCGACTTCAAGTCGTCCGACCGAAGGCCAGGAACGAACCGAGGGGCTGCAGGCATCGGACTGTGGTCCCAGAATGACGACGCGGATGCTCGGGAGGTCGGTTTGGGCAACGACAGCGTCGTGGTGTGATTTTTGCGAGGCTTGGGGGCTACAATCGCAAGCTCTCGAAATGTGACATGGTTCGTCGAAGGCAGCAACGATGGTGTGGAAGGTGTCGTTGTTGGTCGAGGGCACGGTGGAAGGTCAGTTGAGACGGTCGTCTTTACGGGCGACGTGGACCCGGAGGAAGGAGCGTGGCAGTGGTGCCGAGGAGGGGACTTTGGAATGTGAGGAAACGTTTGCGCGTACGGATTCGCGACCGCGGGACGTTTTCGTAGCGCGACGAGCGAGTTGGGGGCACTCGGCTCGTAGTCTGGGCGGATCGAGTCCAACACGACCTTGTGGCCCACGGCACTAGGTGATGGCATGCCGAGCTTGACGGTGTTCCACTTGGCTTGGCCATTATCCAGCAGCAGATCGGTCGCGCCATCGGTCGACGACATGGGTGTCAAAATGCAACGCCACGTCGACTAAATTTAGCCCATTTCCCATTCAAGTCTTTCGCCTTCATGCTTATGTCACGAGGCTGCACAGTTGTGCATTGCCTTTTGTAACAAGTTCATCATTGCGCCCGCCCCCCGTCGACCCCATCCAGTCCTTTGACGTCGATGAACGGCCGCCCTCGCCCGAGAAAGCCATGGGAGCTCTCTGGCAGCATCATTAGCGTCCTGAATGCCCCACCACACAGCCGACCGCGACTCGTCCATACGAGTATCGTTGATCGATCCAATACAGGCGCACACGTTGACGGGAGATCATGTCTGCGTTTCATATAAATTATAGCCTAGGGGCCAGAGGGTCCTAAAAAGCTGGATGCGAGTTGTTTTCCCTCGCAATGGTTTGGTGTCGATTCGAGAGTGTGAAGATGAACCACGACGTGGCTCGTGTAGTAGCGCCGCCACGACATGTTGTACAAAACCTTGCTCCACCAGCCCCACTGCCAGTCTTCCGTGCACCCGCCAAACCGGTCGCAGCCGTCGAGCATCCACGGCACCATGACGCGCTTGTCCTGGGAAGAGAGCGCGGTTTCAATGCGTTTTTGCATGTGGCGGGTGTAGCTCTCGTGGTTGAACGTCGACGCGAGGGCTTTCCCAAAGTCGCCTTCATCGCGGTCAAGGGTCGCGCTCAAAATGTGCTCCAGCGTCTCGATGTACTCGGAGAGCTGCAGGATGTAGCTAGCCCACGCCATTTCGCCGTGGTTGGCTTCGTCCGGGGCGTCGGACGGCGAGGCGCCATGACGAACCTCGGGCATCGATGTTTGGAAATACTTGATTGCGTCCAGCACGGTCAGCACAGCCTCGTGCGACTTGACCGTGGTAACGAGGAGCTCTCGAAGGGACGGGTTCACGCCGATAATTGCAGGGAGCATCACGTTGGCCTTGACATTGCATTGCGTGTGGACATACTGCGCAAAATGATCAAACCAGGCAAAGAACGCCGGCATTTTCCGCGCCGCCGCCTCGTACGGAAGATACGTCAGGTGCACGAGCCGTCGGATGGTCACCATGGCACGACGCAACGGCTCATGGGGAAGCAAGAACACCTGGTCGTGCCAAGCGAGGCTGCCGTTGGCAAGCTTTGCCTGGAGAACAGGGGACAGAATCGAACGCGACTCGTTCGACACGTCGTGCGGGTCCAACGCGGACGACGAGAGCGGTTGTGTCACGTGGTGTGGCGGCGCTTCTGGAAACTCCGCGATCGCTTGAAGCCACGCGGCGTGCGAAGACGTAGATGCCACCGTCGGGAGGTGGGTTTTGAACGAGTGCTGCTGGGCTTGCGCACCGTCGTCGATCGTATGGAAAAACGATTCAAGACCGTCTTCTTTTTCCGAGCTAGATGTCCACACACGAGATGCCCAAATGTTGACGTGTTCCTCGTACTGCTCGTCGTCAAAGTAGAATGGCGGCGCCGCGTTGTCCGTGTTCACCGACGCGGAGGCTTCGTTGGCATCAAAATCGTCCGAGATCTCAGCCGAGTCGGCGGGCACAAGTGCGAACGGCATCACGTACGGCAACGACGCGTTCACGTACGAAGCGGCAGTGGAAGCGATTGAGGACGATGCAGCCCCCGTTTGCACTCGCATGGACGTGACGTCATCGCATTCCCAGAGACAGGTTCCGACCGTCGCGTTGCTCGTAAACGTGCACGAGTTGTTCGGTCCAAGAGTAGAGTTGCTGCTGGCGCGTTCGAGTGGATCGGCCGTGATGGACGATATGCTTTTGTTGCTGCTATTGGCGACTGTGGCAACGTTAGTTGTGTTCGAGACGTCAGCGTGGCCGACATCGGCGGACAATGGATGCAGAAATGCCCGGGGCGACGCATTGGACCGGCAGTAGGATGGAGTTGAGGCACCGTCAACGACGATGGCGGATTCAGAGTACTGGCAGTGAATGGAGTCACCGTCGTTGCCTTCCGGGTTGGTCGACTTGGCCGAGTAGAGCGAGTTCATCGATTCGACGTCGTTCTCGTCGACGTCAACCACGTTCAAGCTCGTCGCGGGGGATGTACTGGGCAACATGCTGATCGAACACAGCCAGTGATGATGGCTGTAGCTTGCTGGAGCCGTGCGGGATGAGATTTGAGCCCGTTTCGTATGCTGGCTGGCTATTCGGTGCCACCTGGTTCGTCATGACTTTTCGAGCTTCAACATTGCCGAAAAACAAAACATTTTGATTCTCAACGATTTTGGAACGACACGCTCAACTTTTCACGGATATTGATCCAAAATGACATTTTTCATCGCGGACGTGGACTGGCTGGGCTGTACTACACGTTGGACGGCAAATTTTCGGCAGATTTTTTCGGACTATACATGGGAGGGATTGGGTACTTTGTTCACATGGGATGATTTTGCGTGTGCCAGTGGCATGGGATTGTATCCCAAGTCGCGATCGGCGGCTTGGTCGACGGTGAACCACATCGTCCACGCACCGTGCAATACCTCAGCTTTCAACAAAGCGGAAAAGGGGGTCTCACCGCTCCTCGGTGGAAACCCTCGTCACTCTTGCAAAAAACAACTTGCCAGCATCCCGGCACAGTCACAAGACAACACTGCATGACGACGCGCTGCGAAGTGAAGCATAGCAACTGCATGTTTTGACCTTCGTATATCAAAATATGGCATTGGACTTTGGAGTTGCAAGTTTTGCGTGGAAAATTTTGACATCATTTTGATATATTTTGGAGCACCACCGAATTCCGTGCTCAAAAAAGATAGAATATCCGGCAATATTTTCTCGAGACGGATCCACCCCAGCCAATGACATGCAACTTGTCGAGGCTTGAGCCATGTCGCACGCCGAAGGCACATGCTCCAAAGTTGTGCGCAACCGTCGACATGCACCATCGTTGCGATCCTTCATGATGGTTCAAAGAGAGATGCCACTTCCAGGGCTGGGTCACCACGACACATCGCACGATGTCCAGGAGTGTGGCTTTCACAATGGACGAGCGATGAGACGGAGGAATTCAGCAGGCAACATGGGGCAGGTCACCGTGGAATTCGTGGATGAGCCAAAACAACTCGTGAGACAGCGGCATGCGCTCAAATTTGTGTGATTTTGATCGCACAAGACAGCACACGATGTCACATCCGATTCCATCAATATGTGTCGCACAAGCGAGCTCAGCGACAGATGTGGCCATGTGTCCCATCCTCTTGCTCAAGGTTGTACGCTTTGCCAGCACGAGCTGTGCAGCGAGCGCCGCCGGTAATGGTCCAAGTGCTTAGCACGCATTGTTCTTGTGGACATGCACAAGGGAGTCATAATGTCCGACCGATTATATTGTTTCGCTCCTCGCAACACATCCTCACGCATGCGGCCGCATTTGACTTCACACGAGCTTGTGGTACGACTGTTGGGGAGTTGGTAGCAAACTCGGCCGTCGTTGAACGCGTGTGCCTGTCGTCTTCACGTCGTCGGGGTCGTCGGCGGCTGATATCGGCGTCGTGGGTTCTTGTGGCGACGCCGCCGCCGCTAGCAGTTGACGGCATTTCACCAACTCTCGCTGGGTCTCTGCCACTTGGATCTCGAGGCAGTGATTTTGGTACACCATCGACCGCATCAGTGCCTCCTTGCTGTCTTCCTGACGCAGGCGCTCGGACGCCTCTCGTGTTCGCTTCGGCAAGGGGCCAAGTTTGCCCGCGGAGGGTTTCATTTTCTTGACGTGGCGGCGCATGATGAGATATCCATGTCGAAAAGGCGTACCATGGCTCGTACCTGGAGCGAGGCCATGGCCGCATTCACGGTGAATGCCAAGTCCGAGCAAATGCGCGACTACGCGACCCCATGTTCAAGACATGGGAATGAAAAATGCAAAGAACGCACGTGGAGCTTCGATTCCATTGTGCCGGCACTCGTCTGTTGCGCGCCGCTGACGCCGATGGACAGCACAATCTAGGCCGCCGCTTCTGTGAGCACGGATTTTGTGGTGGGCCAGGCAATCAACTTACTTCAGCACTGCTTTGGGCAGTCTCGAGCGACGTCCAGAGGAGCTCAATCAGCTACGAAAGGCGACCATCGGTGTCTGGCGATTCCGCCGCCATGTCGTACCTTTCGCTTCTTCTTTTTGTATGTGACGGGAATCCCCATCGCCCGATACAGCGACTGGACAATCGAGTCGGTCGTGTGGTACTTTAGCTGGTCGTACAAGTGCAAGCGCTCTTCGTCCAGCCGCACGTTTGCCTGGAGAAAGAGACATTTGTCGCCATGATGCCGTTCCACAAGGTTGGTTTGAACAGATCTCGCTCCAGCTTACGATTTCACGGCTCGTGTGCGATGTCTTGAGGATGCGCTGGCGGCGTTTTCTCGCACTTCGCGACAAGACTTTGTCCATGTCGCTGCGTTCGACCGTGGTCTTGGCCGTTGTGGTAGCAGGCATTGGGGCCACTGCCGCCGGCTTGGGGTACCCCAAGATCGCTTGTAGCCGTGCGATTTCCTCCAAATGCACCTGGGACATATCGACGTCATAACTCGGCAGCACCTCGACGGCACGTACGCCAATGCTCATAAAGTCCGCACGGTCGAACATGATCCAAAACTTGGATCGATACACGAGTGGAATCGCGCCATCGCGCCACAACATGAATATGTGGTGCTTCAGGTCCATCAAGTAGCTCTTCCGCCACCTACCACACCCACATGCATCGTCCGTCGTGTCGGCGTTTGTCTTGGGAATCATCGAGCCCAAGACACGTACCGGAGCGACTGAATCCGGGCGAGCATCCCGCGAGCGCGACTCTGGACGAGCACGATGCGGTGCAGCTGGCGATGGTACCATTGCTCCTGGTGCTTGCGACGGTACCACGCCTATCCAGTGCCAATGATCGCGTCAAGTGAAAGTAAGTTACAGGGATGAAGCATGACCTGGAGGCGAAGCATGCCGCGGCGCAGGCGGCGGTATCGCGCGGCGTAAACGTATCCTTTGGCAATGACTTGGAGCTTGGTCAGAGCGTAGACGGCGACGGCATACGCGCGTTGCACGGCTTTGGACCGCATGCGACTCTACACCAAGCCAGTCGATTCGGTCATGCATCGTGTGGGTTTTCCACAGATTCAAGCGCCATGCCGACGTACTTGTAACTTCACAACAGCCCAGCGGAACCGGCGGTAGTTGTCATGCATGGCGCGGCGCTAGGGTCGATTCAACCGTCGCCGTGGGAATCGATGGACGGAAACAGTCGATGTTGCGACGTACCTTGAGGTGGGCGCTCACAAACGATTGAATGGCTAGAACGGCCGCTCGTTGCTTTCGATACGCCTTTTGCGCGCGATGCATGCGGTACAGTGCTTGCAGCTGCACCAGCATGGTACCGACATGAACATGGTCAGCAGCACATGACGCGGACTGTACCGAAATGACAAGCTTCCGCGTGGCATCCCAGCTCGTCCCCGACTCGACGACGCACCTGGACCATCCATTTCGTCAGGAACGTCACCGATTCGATGTCCACGCACGTGCTAAGTTTGTAGATTTGCTGGTGGACGTCGACGGGGGCAACGTGGCGCGGTTGTTCCTTGGCGGTAAAGAGTTCGCGAGGTTTTCGAGTCGTGCCAAACAGTTGCCTGTTCGAGTGAGCGACGGAATTTGTCACTTGCTTCTCGCGACGGTGGATGGCCACACAAAAGACATACCGCTTCAGGCGGGGGAACCCTCGATACTTGTACCGCATGCCATTGTCGGGGAGTCCCATCGTCGACGGCGGCGGCGCGACAAACGTTTCGCGAATGTTCTCGGACTTGTCCTCCAGGAACGATACATCGTGCTTTTTCCCGAGCGTGACGGACCGATTGAGTTTTTGATGAATCGACGCGTCAAAGAAGAGCACTTCCGGGAGCTGGGGGCTCGTCCCTCGGTCTTGGCAGAAGCGCTGAAACATCTACGACACTGTTTGTGCGGCGACGTCCTGCAACAGATTCGTTCAAGCATTGTACGGACCTGCGACCCGATCAAAGTCGCCAGGAACGGGCGAGACGCAGCATCGCTGTTGTCTCGCAAGAACGCCGTCGCGTCAAAGAGGGCTTCCGAGGGGTGGTGTAAAGCCTTGGGGTTCTAGCAATGGCATGAGATCCTGAACGACCTTCGCCGCGTGCACCACGGCAGCCGTGACAGGGCGATATCGATTCCACGTGGAAACCGTACCAAGTAGGTCGCATACCGCTTGAAGATGCTGACGAAGAAGCGGAGAAAAGCGTGGCGGACTGGATCCGACAGAAACATGGATCCATTCGTGCTCGTATTGTTTACGGACGGCGCGCCACTCCCCGTCGAGTTGTTGAACGCCGCCGACGCGGACCGTTCCGCGAGGACGGACGTCGACTGCGACGGCACGAGCATCTTGAGCGTTTGAAACGACAACGTGGCCTTCCTGTCGAGTGACAAGCTCGCTTTGCGCTCCGCGTCGGCCACATGCAGCACAGTGCGGCCGCCCGTCGTGCCATTCACATCTTGAATGGGGGTCAAATAATCTTGGTGGTCGAACGCCAGGTCGGCTTTGTCAATTTCCGGCGCAAATGGATCGAATACCTGTTCACGACAACCCACAGTTTACGCTCAAAATGCTGCCACGGACATCACAGACGACGACGCCCCGACTGGGAACTCTGGCATGCAGTTCCAGCGCCGCCAGTCGCGGAATCGCCCATCTCACACGGCAACGAAGATATACACGGATGCTATCGCTTACGTTTGCGACTTCCTGCAGCTTGCTGCGCAACTTGCCCGCTTCGCGATCGGGGAGCTTAGGTAGCACCGATTCCTGCAAGAGACGGTGTTTTCGTTTGCGCCCGCTGGAAAAATGGACTCGCACAACGAACCTGGCCAACGTCGTTGGATGGTGGAAGGATGCTAGAATGGAAGAGAGGTGCGTCGGACATTAGTGTCGTCGGGAGGACGATTCGAGTGTCGATGGCGCGAGGGCGTTTGTCGATCGATGCACGTACCGGTTGTGGTCCAAGTCGACGAAGAAGACGTCGGTGGCACAGCTGCGGGACGACGTGGCAAGGTATTTGGAGTGGACACCGACCAGAAATGGCACTGGGGCCTTTGCGAAATGTCAGCGCCCAGCACGTTCTCACGATGCGAGGCGCTTACATCGATGATATCGAGCAGCGACGACGGCAAGATCGGGATGTATGCGCCTTGCCAGTACAAGGGAAAGAGCAGAGACTGAAGGGCTTCCGCGATCGGGGTCAAGACACTCAGGTGTTTGGAACACAACGCCACCTACACAACGTCCATGAGCTGTCAACGGACACGGGCTCCCTTGCCTTTTGCTCGAGCAATAGGCACGTAAACACGGTCAGGACGTTGTTGAGGTCGAGCATTTGAAACAGCGGTCGAAAGTTCACCTAGGAAGAAAGGATGAAGCAAGTCCGAGTTATCGAGACACGGACGTCTGCGTGGGGAAGCTGGTTGGTTGGCGGGCGCGACACAAGCACGGTGCATTCGGGCAGTGTTAGCTGCACTTGAACCCTGCCCTACGCGTGCGACGCACAACAGGATGATGCGCGAGAACCTGTGAGCACCTACAGGAGGCGGGACTGGGATCTCGGCCGTAAAGTTGGCCACGTATCGTTCCAACGGGAGCGGGGCCTCGGACAACGACAGTCGGTATATCTGCCGACGGGGGACGGTCATGCATGGCGACCAACGATGCGGGGCGTACTTGCTGCAGGAACATTCGAAACGTCGAGTAGAACGGATACTGGCTCAGGACGACGAGGCACTTGGGGCTGTACACCGACGACGCCTGCTTGGCCCCACTCGACAACGCTTGTGCCCACGTTGGCATAACGTCCTTGACGAACAGCGCCATCTACAGCCGCCATTCATTCCGAGTGCCATGGAATCCACTCGACTCCTGCACGGATCATACCACTTCAAACGGTGTCAGGAGCTCGTCGAATTGGAGCGCGCATGCATAGAGCTACAACGGCGAACGCGACCGTCAGGAAGTTCGAGAGGGAGTGGCGACCACCCACCTTGGCGCCGCTAACGTTGGTCAGGACAAAGGAGAAGAATGTCGGTTCACGAAATGCGGCGCTCAGGGTCAGCCCTTCGGGAAATGCAAACTACAGACAAGCGTGAAAGGGCGGGTTTGTAGATTGCTGGTTGCCATGGCACACCTGAGCAATGTGCGGTGGCAGCGGCGCGTCGGGGAGAGGGTCTGGATAACTGTCAAGGATGGTTGGCTGGAACTGAATGTCGCCTGGTCCGGTCGATGACACGACTACTCAAATGGCAACGCTGATGCCCCGTGCTGAATGTATGGACTGCATAGCCCGATGCAGTACCTGTCTGCTTGAGACTGGAGCCCCTGCCGACCACCACAAAGTAGTTGACGAATCGCTTGGCGATGTCCACCTGGATCGACGGGGCCGAGTTTCGCCTAGTCGGCATCTGCTGCGGATGGACTTCGCACGTGGTTGTGGGTAGTTGGAACGTTGCACCGTTTGGCGACGCGAACGTTTTCAACGCGTACTTTGCCTGAATATATGCCACTCGGCACGCATCACTGCGACTGACTGCTGCCTTGACGGCCGGCGTCACATGCTTTTCCAGGGCTGAATTGGCAGCACGATTGCCCTTCATGAGCTCGAGTTCGTCCGATGTCCACGTGTCCATGTGGACGGATTTGATCCGGGACACGTGGACGCCAAGGTTGCGGTGGACGCCTGCGCACTGAATGCACACGAAAGCGCCGTGCGTGATTGTGGCCCACGCCATAGACGCCGTCACGGGCACCCCGCAGTCGGCGCATGCCTGGTTGTCCACGTTATTGCGCAATTTGTCGGCGATGCGGCTCATGTTGGGGAATCTCTGCGGGACGCCGATATCTTGGTATCGGGGGTTTCATCCGAATCGTATCCGGAATTTGAACGCACCACATCCGGATGATCTCGTCAACCGCACGACAGTTTTTTGTGTGAGGGGATGGAAACATTGATGAATTCAAGCGAGTGATGCGAATGCACCGAGCGGGTTTGTTTGGCTGCGCGTACGCGACATGCACATGCATGAGTTCCACCGTCGGCCCTTTGCTCGGGGCCAGCTTCGTTCCGCACCATAACTGTGACGTAGGACCAAGATGTAAACGAAAACGATTGGTCAAAATCGTAACGGACCTTAGTTTGATTGGCTAGATTTTTTGTATCACAAATTCGGGATAGGGGCACGCATGGTGGGCAGCTGCAATGGTTTCGGCAACGTCATGGCGATTGTACTCCTGGGCAGCGTTTTAGCGGCTTAGGGGACTGAATTGACGGCCACGGTGAACGCTTCCACCCATCAACGAACGTTGCGAGAAGTTGCAGAACGGATTTTCGTCATGCATCGCGCTGATCCACACGATGCTGGCACAAGTCATTGACAGTCCCGCGACCAAGAAAGTTGGAATCCAAGCGTTCAGTCAAGAGCGTGGTGGAAGATGACTGCATGTTAGATACGTAATTGTTCAGATGCTTGTACACTGACTTGTGCCAACGATACAGCTGGCACTAGACGTTTTGCTCCTGCCAGAGACACGTACAAAGGAACGAGCGCAAGCTACATCGTTTCGCCCAAAGTACATCATCTTAACTGCATCGTCTATCGGTCCAGAGGTGCACGCGCCCAACCGAACTCCTTTCAAAATGTGCTACATGCAATTGCTTGATGCAATCGCTGTGCCCGCTGACGTGAGTGGACTCTTACATGGGCTTTATGTGCGTATTTGAGAGGGAGGCCCCGTTTGTCGTGTATTGAGTCAAGCAATGTGACGGCACATGGGGCAGCACACATTTGCTCTTGAAGCCAGGATATTCACGAACGGATAATGCAAGGTTTGTCCTGAACCAATTCGAGCTCGTCGACCGCTCATGGATGGCATTGGCCAGGCTGCAGAGCCCAGTGGCTGAACCCCGGGACAACTAGAGGGTGGGCGAGGGATAGTTGTTTTAACTCGCGCTCGTGTACCTTCGCCAGTCATCTTTGGTTCTCCAGGACGAAGCTATGGCGACTATCGACCGCGACACGGACCTGGGGCTCCAACGCGTCGTGCGCGCCGCGTTTGCATCGTCAAAAGTGCTCACACACTCCCACCGAGTTGATACCGTCCTCGACCACGACCGCAACCTCGAGCAAGAGCGTGGGTAAATTGCTCAGTTGGTCACGCCGGTCAACTTGCTCGCCCAACCCACAGGCAACTTGTACGACCTTGTCCCGGCCTGCGGGTGCAAGATGTCCCAAACTCAACCAGTCCCGTAAACGAAGGAACTAACGAAGCCGTATTCCCTTTCGCAGCGCAATCCTAGTTGCGGCACCATCGCTCCATTTTATTTGCACAACACACGAACGGCATGCCACGTCGTGAACTGTATCTATGGTCACACTCAGCGCTACGGCCTTGATTACCCTGCAGTCGATGAAATCGAATGCGGCACATGATCGAAGCGCCGCCCACGACATTCACGATGCAGAACACATTGTAGCGCTTCCTGCGTCCGTCTACGTTTGCAGGATCCCGCAAGACGATCCTCTTTTACCAAACTACAACACGACGATTTACTCGATGCGAATGGCGTCGCCGCCGACTGCCTCGACGTGGAGTTCACGCCAACACTTCTCGATAGGCTATGCTCATCCGAAAGCCAACCACAATCTCGTGCGCGATTGCACAACGTTGCTCTCCAGGGTGATACTCCTCCTTGAGCAGTTTCCCCTGGCGCCATCTCGTGCCTCACGGCCTTCGTTCAAGCCCACATCGAATCGCGAGCGCAGTGCCTAGCGTTGTGAACCTTCGGCACCACACCCTCCCGGAGCTACACGATACGAACCCCGATGATTGAGAAGCATCGACAGCTACAAAGAATACGAACACAAGTGGACCGACACTAGAAGCAACCACAACTAGAGCTTACTTTCACCCCTACCATTTCCTCTTTCTGCCTCGACGACAAAACCGAATCAATTATCACCGCGATGTTTCGGCTACGTTGTCTCTGGCTTGTCGCTGTCAATGTTGGTGATCGAATCCAAGAATTGTCGAATAGTGTCGGAAAAGTGCGCGGGGCTCGGCGGTACAATCGACTAGTGGGTGCGCAGATGCCACAGACCGAGCGTTGCAATGTCGATGCCGTCCATCATGATGCGGCCTTCCGCGAGGGTGTCGATGCGGCAGTATGCGTGCACCATGCTCGACTTGTCAGCGCCCCTGTTCGGCCAACGACGTACACCAAATATTTCTCCACCATCCACGTGAAATGAAACGTGTCGAAGCACCACGTGGTCGACTGGTGGCTGCGTAGCGATAGTTCCCATTGACAAAGACTACGCGCCAGCGAAGGCCACGAGATGGCAACGTCGTCATTGCGACGCCCGGCGTTTCTTCTTCTGGCTGTACTCGAGGAGTCGGTCCGGCGCGATCATGTCGCCTTCGAGATGTGCCCAAAACGTCACAAGCCCAGCAAACGTTGCTGACATCTTGAGAACACACGAGCCCCGATACCCAATTTCGCCAGACAGCCAGGCAGCAAATTCAATTTTCTTTTATTACGTGTATTGCACGACTCCAATCACTAAGCACTTTGGCGCAGAGGAAGCGTGTTGGGCTCATAACCCAAAGGTCCTTGGATCGAAACCAAGAAGTGCTAATTCTTTTTCTTGTTTTTACCATGCCATGTACAGCAGCGAGTCGAGTTTGGTTGAGACAAGGGCAGCTTTTCCACACCACGTTGTACAGAAGGAGGTGCGAGCACGTGATGTCCTCCTGGTTCGAGGCGTACGTTTTCAGGCGGACGAGGAGGCAGCGGAAACGAGTGTGCCCAACAACTACCCTTGGACGCGAACAGGCTGATTACATCAGATGGTGGTGGGACCACCTTGAGTGGTTTCAGTGACGGGAGTTGCGTTGACAGGAATTGGACAGTGTCGATCCTTTTGGATAATCAAGACCGTACTTGAACAGGATCATTTCTATAGTGCAGTCATCTTTACTTTGTTTTCCAAAGTAGACGATACCAATAACTTTGAGGATCGGAAGCGACCCCCTTCGTTGACTCGGGATGTCGGCGCACGTGCTGAGGACGCAAGTCCGGGCCGTCGCTGTTGATGAACGTCCGCTGTTGCTATTCCAAGACAGTGTGAGCGAAGGCGGGTGTTATGAGAAGTTATTTGGTTCGTCGTCTTTTTTGTTTTCAGCTCTTAACTGCCCCTCCCTCCCATGCTCTGCTGAATAAACTGCTACAATCCCCGCGTGTGTGAGCGGCCACGCAGGACGAACCAGCGCTTCGGCCGTCGCTCGCTCGCTCCAGGACCGTACGAAACGAACGGTTGGTCGCACTCTGTGAACGCCAATGGAAGCCATGAACGACGGGGACGGCGGTCTCGATTGCCCGTGGCATGGGGTTGACCAACGTAGTACGCCACCACTGGAAACGTTGCCCACGATGGACGGACTGCATGCGCTTTTACTCTTGACACCACTCGGATCGCATCGAACGTTCATGTTTTTTTTTACTACTTGGCGTGGTCGACTCGATGGAAAAAGTTGGGGGCGGCTTCCACGAGCCACTCCTTCTCAATCGGGACAACGCCTCGAATGTACTGCTTACTCGTAAACACAAGTTCGTTGAAGAGGACGTAGCGGGGCGCGGGATTGCGCATGAACATGACACTAGAAGGATGGACCTTGACCTCTTCGCGTTTGGGGAGGCACATTGTGTGGTACGCTTGGGTGCCGTTCAGCGCGCTCTTCATGCGGGTCGCCGAGTTGAGAAAGTAGCCTGCGACCATCGCTTTTCGAACGGGCACGGTGTCTGGCAGCGCGGACGATGTCATGTCGGCGTCGGGCTTGGCTTGGCGCAGGTACCGCACGAGCTGATCTCGCACGCTCTCCACCCGTTGCATGGCGCGGAGGTTGATAAAGTGATCTTTGGCCCACTTGAAACGCTGTTTGACGCTGCACGACGCGTACGCGTTGTACACGTTTAGCAGCATGAGTTGGTCGCCGTCAGTCGAGACGAACGGCGCGCGTGACGCCGCCGCCTTCTCTTTGTGGTCACGGGGCATGTAGAATATCGACTCCACGGAAAGCATCGCGACAATCGACGCAGCGTCGCTGACACATCCCAGCTCGATGGCTTTCAAGAGCATAATCGACGCCATCGGGTCCACGGGCAGGCTCGCCACGTTACGTCCTAGCCATGCAAGTTGATCAACTCGACCGGGTACAGCGACACAAGTGGATGCGATCGATAGATGTTTACCCAGATCGGTAAGGGTGCCAGTCGGAGTAAAAGCGCCGAGCGCGTACAGCTTTTCCAGCGCTTGGATCATGTGCTTGGTATTCGGACGCTCAATGAACTCAAAAGACAGCACGTCGTCGATCCCCATGCACTTGAGTTGCAACACGACGACCTCTAAGCTCACCTGCCATGGCAATGCAGCACATTAAAACGATCCAGACGATGGCCATGCGACGATTGAGCGCCACGAGGGCGTCGTTGGCCATCCATTTCACGCTCGATACAACACACATACCCGTTTGATTTCAGGAATGGCGCGCGTGGCGAGCTCTTCAAATTTGGCTTCGGGAAACAAACGGTAGCACACGCCAGGGGCTTCACGGCCAGCGCGACCGCTACGCTGCCATGCTTGCGCTTGCGAAATCGGCTCGATTTGCAGAGTTTCCATGTGCCCGACAAACGACCGCTGCTTGACCAGGCCTACCAGGCGATCGGCTTAGCCACATACATCCATACCATACAGCCCCTTCCTGCATACGGTGGACACATGCGCGACGAGCAAGACCGCTTACCTGTATCAACAACAAACCGCACGCCGTTGATCGTAATCGACGTTTCCGCGATGTTGGTCGCCAAGATGACTTTGCGAACCTACAACCCGTCCTCAGGTGGGATGGTGTCGTCGATGGCGCGTCAAAGCTGGCGCTGGCGACAGCGACAGAGCGGAACACGGCATGGGCATCACAGACGTACGTTGGGTGGCGCGGGTTCAAACGCCAGCATTTGCGACTCTCGCGGCATCGCGGAAAAGATGGGGCAAACCCAAAGCTTTGGAACGTGGGGCGGCAAGCGCGTCGCGTAGTCGTTCAAAAGACTTTCCATCGTTTCAATGTCTTCTTGGCCGGTGAGAAAGACCAAGATCGACCCTGTGTTGTCTTTTTCGTCCAAGTGAATTTGAAGGGTCGTGATGAGGACTGCGTCCAAGTAGTCTGGAAGCGGCTTGATCGTGTAAAAGATGTCGACGGGGTGGGTCCGACCAGGAATGCGCAGCACGGCGGGGTCACTACGCACATGCCACCTTGGTCACGAACACGGGGCAACCAACGCACCTCGCGGCAAAAAAGTTCTGGAACAGCGCAACATCCAGCGTCGCAGACATGACGACGACACGCAGGTCGTTCTTCACCCCCCGGCTGGCCAACGCACGCTTGACAATGCCAAATAGTATATCCGTCTGCAGCGAACGTTCGTGCGCTTCATCGAGGACGATTACCGAGTAGCTGGCCAGGTCGGGAAACAGAAGCGCTTCACGCACGAGCATCCCGTCTGTCATGAACTTGAGCTTTGTCGCGGAAGATGTCGTGTCGTCGAATCGGACGCAATACCCAACGGGTCCTCCTGGAATCGTCGTGTTCATTTCGGCAGCCACACGCTGCGCCACCGTAATGGCAGCCACTCGGCGAGGCTGCGTCACAGCAATTCGTTTGTGCGGTGCCGTCATGTGACTCTCGAGGACGTACTGGGGCAGCTGCGTCGTCTTTCCTGACCCTGTCTCCCCGACCAAGATGAGCACACGGTGCTTCCGTAGGTTATCCAGGATCGTCTTCTTCCACGCAAAGATGGGCAGAGATTCACGCACTTCTTTCATGGACTGCTGGGCCTCCCATTGCCGCTTCTTGGACGCGATCGCGTTGCCGCTGCCGATAGTTGAAGCCATCGTCCGTGTCGTCGCGAAAATGTTTTCGTCGCGGGTGATTCACACACACCAACGAAAAAAACGTCAATGTTTTTGAGAACATTTTCATGATTTTCTGTTGTGAACACGGCTTTTCATTTAAATCGCACTGTTTAAATGCATTTTCTCTTAACCCAGAAAATTCATTTATAACTCTCCCTGTTTCATCTACCCATTATAAATTTCTACTCTATGGACACATGCAACCTTGTACAAGACCATTCTGTTCGTCAAGCACAACATGACCATCGTGGCGTCGCCGAGCCATGGCAGTAATTGAATAGACCTTTGTGTTTTCTTTTCAAGAATCGGAAGCAGGGCCTTGGAATGTCGGCGGCGCACGAGAAGGCGATGCATGCCCGTGCCGTCGCTCTAGTTGTATGAACGTCGACTACTGTGAGTTCAAGCAGCTCTGGGGACCTCGTGATCGTCAGAGTACTTGGGATCATCACACTTTCTCGATCATGTCCAGGGGCGTCGGACATGACGCCATGATGACTACCGACGACAGAGTGTTGGTCGATCCCTCTACCCCGGCGGTGGTCCCATGGACAAACATTCCTGCGATTCCATATTATTGTACGTGAAAACTACGTACTTTTGGTGCGAGAGTTGACCTGGCAGCGCAACCCTTCGACCGTGATGACTACGGCAGTTGCCCATCAAGCCATGGAGGTCATCATGGCCGCAGGTGTCGTGTGACAAGGGTGGCCGCACGTGTTGACGGCTCAACGCGGAAGCATTGATTATGGTCTTCATTTTTGAATTCACCAAGACACTGGCAATCGAGCACGTTTCGTCATGGGTTTTGACACGTCAACAGCAACGTCCTGTGGGTACGTACTCCGTGTGGATCGCCATTCCAAGCGTCGTCACCCCCAAGGCGAGAGGGACGAGCGCCGCCTCCGCCGCAGCCAACGTACCGAAGTGTGTCTTCGCTGGACTGCGAGTGTCGTTGCCGTGACGTTCACCCTCGGGTACTGCTTCGCCGCGTTTATCTTTGGTCCGTTGGGCGAGCTAGCATACCCCGACGTGAGCTTGCGCACCCTCGGGCACATTCATGTTGCGACGGGAGCGATCTGGATGCTGTGTGCGACCGTGCAAATCTGGCCGTCATTTCGCACGAGATACCCAGCCCGGCATTGCGCGCTCGGCTACTTTTCAATTGGTGTGATGATGGTGTCCGTCTTGGCGATCTGGGCCATGTGCTTGTACGGCCGCTTGAGACTGGAAGGGGGGCTTGGCATCATGGCGTCAGGTCTCATCTTTTCTGTCGTGTGGGTAGTCTCAATCTACTACGGCGTACAAGCCATCAAGAGCGGCCGCGTCGAACTCCATCGACATCACATGCTTCGGGCATACTGGCTATCGTGGTCAATCATTCTCATGCGGCCACTGTTCACGGTGTTTCTCTTTGCCCTCGGTGGGTCCCCGGCCGCCCAAGACGACACGAGCCGCCTTGTGTTGGGAGTTACCTCCTGGGTGGTCTTCGCGCTCATGTACATGGCAGTCGAGTACTGGTGCAAGCCCCAATGGTCAATAGAAGAAACTGACCGAACATTCTCGCCGTGCACGCTTGTCGCCCGCCAAAAGCTGACCGCCGATACTGCACTGGTCACTCTCCAATCTGCCTGGGACGACGTGATGGCGTTCCCTCTCCTGGCAGGCCATCACTGCTCAGTCCGCGTAAACGGCGTCACGCGATCATATACTCCCGTTCCCGGGGATGTGGCGGTGGATTCGGCCATCTCGCGCAGCAATCAGCTCAACTTGATGGTCAAGCTCGTCCCGAACGGAAAAATCAGCACTTTGTTGCACACGGCACCGCTTGGAACGTTGGTTGAAGTACTGGCGCCCATCGTGGGGACGTTTCGCTTGCGGCCGCACGTGCACTCGGAGCTCGTGCTGATCGCCGGCGGCTCCGGCATCTCGACCATCCTTTCGATCCTCCAAGCTGCACAGTGGGAGCGTCGGTACAAGACGATTCGTGTATTTGTATTCTCGTCGACGGGGTTTGTGTGGCAAGACAAGCTGCGTGCTCTGGCGTCGGAAACGATCCACCTCACTTTCGTTCGCGAACGCCCATCTATCGAGCATTTCCACAACGTCGAGGCGTCAGGATCTACGATGGTAGCTCTGTGCGGGTCGTTCGGGTTCATGACGAGTGTGCTGGGACTACTAAAGAACCACAGCCGCATCAACATCCATGCCTTTGGCTTGGACGACCGCTAAGATGGTGCTCGTGATTCTCCCGAATACTCCCACGATTTCCCGTTTGACTCCTTTGCATCCAAACTCGATTCATTAATGGACTGTATCACAACGTTCACAGCTCCTGTCATCGTCGCAACGTCAACGTCATGCCTACGGCATGAGGTACATGCTTGATTGTGTCGTACACTGTGTGTTCCATAGTGCATAGCTGATCCTTGCTCTCTTGTGTGCAATGTCCCCGAGGGTCACTACGGCATTTCACGAACGCAAGATGAGTTCGACTGGCGCCGCCGGGCTGATGGTGACTCGTGCCGCGTTGCGTGATAACTCTCTCTCGAAGGAAGCCCCATGAAATCCAAGAAAATTTGTCGCTTGCCCAGCCTCATCAATGGAGCCACGCAGAGTTGTGCCATGCTGGATGGT